GTAAATTAGTCTCAAAACAAGATCAAAAAGTCTTTTTGGCTGGATGTAAGATTTTAAAACTTGGTAAGATGGACAGATTTTGCAGTGTGTGCTGTTGGTTTTGTTGATTGCTACATAACAATCTAACTTTAGTGTCTCAGACTTTGGGGGAAAAAAGGGTTATTGTCTGCTTATTATTGTTTCATGTTTGGTGTGCTAAATGAGTTTCCATAAATGATTGCTAATAGGCATTTAGAATGGCTATAGGGACTGCTTAAAAGGAACACTGCAAAAAAAAATTAAACAGAGTTGTTACTGAMTGATTCAAAGTGTCGATTGTGGCTCTTTATTTATTTTAAAAATCATAAGAAATAAAGTCAGAAAATAAAGAAGAAACGTGTTATATTTGTCAGATGGGCAATGGAGAATAAATGTAGTGAATTCTACAATGGCTGACACACATTTCTTTCTTTTTTTTTTTTGGAGTCATGATAAGAACTATACATACATACAATATATACTCATGATCTAGCAGCGACTGTGAGCCAAGAAATGCAACCTAATTCAAAATTAATTATCATTTTGATTAATGTTAGCACAGTTTTAAAACAACTAAGCCTGCAGAAAGAAGACCTATCATATTCATCTAAAGAAACTGCTGCAGCATTATCTTGGATTACGTTCCGATATAATAGGGAATTAAAGGAGCTTTTCCTATCAAACAAAAGTCAGAATTGGAATGCACTCAGCCTTTTTTACTTGGCAATAAAAAAACTGCAATAACCTGCAAAAAATAAAAATAAAATAAATTTTTAAAAAAATCTTCCATTCACTGAASTTAAATAAAAGTACTGACAATTCAGCATTGTGTGCAGCGATGATCAAGCATGCTTTGATTTGRCAGAGTGTTTTTGCCTCGCAGAGAAGTTTTAATGTCTCAAGATGACACAAGCTGATGTTTTAAACACTTGTCATTTTGATATATATAATTTCAGTGACACACATGCTTTCGCTCTGCTCTGCTTGGTCAGGAAGATGTAATCACTGCGTCTTCAGGGCTTAGTTGGAAAAGGGGAAGGAAGTTGGCCTGGGATGCAATACCTAGGGACTAGAAGGCAACACAAGCTTATCCCCTCAGCTGCAAGCCTCGCAAGAGCAGACTGCTGATGTTAGTTATTCATGGAGCTGGGAAAGGAGTCGGTCATTACCAATGACAAAAGAAAACACAGAAGAAAAGGCACTTGCCCAATTCTTTAGCRGTTAAACCAAAACAAAGGCCATGCAATGACAGGTAGGACCTTCGCTCAGGGAACCAAACAACRCTCTGACCATATTGACAGTTAGGGTGGACAGTTAAGGGAGAAAGATCCCCATGCAGTGGGATAATCTCTTAGTTTTTCCAACCCAGTAAAATGAAGCATGAATGTCAAAACAKTTT